TCACACTTATTCAAATGAGCGAAATGTACTTAGTAATAGAGGTCGCTGCAAACAAACCAGGAAATGGCGGAAAAATGGCGTACTATAAATTTCCATTTTCAAAAGGGAAAACAAATTATTGATTGTATGGTTTAGTAAGCAAAGAGACTGTTACTGGTGATAGTGCTAATTACTTCAGTCACCTTTTTAAAACAGCTGGTTAGCCTTATTCAAGGTGAACCTTATTAGGGGCAAAATACTCATTTCTACTTTCGTGAATACGTAAAAAGGGAGAATAAATAAACTGATAAATTAAATAATCCAACAAGGAAATTCTGGATGTCCAAAAAACACTTACATCACCAGCGGGACATGAATTGTATTAAAATTTTGTTGAATGTAATTTTACTTCCAATGATTAATATACAGGTCAACACAGTACCAACGCTAAGAAAGTCTGATTGCAAGGTTATAAAAAGTACAACCAGATTTCTCAAGCAGAAAGCATGTCCTGGTATTATAGCCTGTATTAGTTGGCTATACATTAATGATATGGTAGACATACGAAAATAAATTAAAACTGTCTCTTTTGTCGATGTGCTGTACATGTAACCATTCAATTTAGTCTATCTTACTATAGTTAAAGAACTTTAAACTTACATTATTTACTGGTTAACAGGTACCATGTTCACCTTGAATATAAAAAAATAACATATTCTACAAAAATACTAGAAATACTAAAATTATTGTTGATGCCCATGAATTAAAACAGAATGCACGAGAAACAGTATCAACATAAGGGTGTACATACGAAAAACGATAAGAATGGAAATTGCAAGATCAAAACATTTCACATAAAGCTTTGTGCTACACTCCATAACACAGGATTTAGACTTACTATGAACTCTTAAAGATTAATTCACCAAATCCTTAATCGCCTTAATAAGAAAAATCATAGCCTAGTGTGGTGTGGCGTCTTAAATCGGGTTCGGATACAATTCGACCTAAATTCGCATTTGTCTGCGTGATGACACAAATGTATAGGAAGAAATTATTTGATTTCTTTGCGTAATCATACAATTGTCTACAAAAAAAATGTTTTACAGATCATAAGTAACGAATGTTCCCTTTTCTCTGTATGAGATTATCCCAGTCATAAACTTTTACAGCTTATAACTTGCTGTAAAATATTGCTTAAAAATGACCCGGTGTAAGCCAACGATAGCAAGCTTAAAAGACTTTTACATTTAAACAGCCAAGGAGTTCTGATTATATCGTAATAAGTTATTAACTATAAATTCCATTTCTTATTATAGTAAACACTTTTAATTTCTTACTTCATCACAAACTGAAAGTACAGTATATTGTCATAATTTTGTTAAATTTAGCTCACCAACCGTATATAAACATCAGCACAAAACAACTCTAAACATATATTAACTTTAACTTTAACATTTAATATAATTGCACCAATCCCAAAGTTGTCACCTATTTAGATGTGTTATTAATCACTATAATATATACCTTGTGAACAGTAGCAGCTGTCAATAAGCTTAGTCATTGAGATCTTTGTATTGTGTATTTATATATTTGTGTGAATAATGGTGAATAAATAATCAGCTGTCAATTATCATGCCAACCCATCGACCAACATTTCAGGAAGACCATTTCAGGAAGGTAATGCATACAAGGAAAGAAATACTTTAAGAAAAATGAAGAAAGGGCAGCTTCTGTGTATGTGTGTGTGTGTGTGTGTGTGTGTGTGTGTGTGTGTGTGTGTGTGTGTGTGTGTGTGTGTGTGTGTGTGTGTGAATGCCCATGATGTATTTATGAGTATTTGCTATTGTCTGTAGGAGTATATGTGTACCAGTCTCTTGTTCTATACATTAGAAGAAAAATATACATTAATGATAATATATTAGTACTCTAATACCTTAAAGAAGACATCTCTTTAATGGGGCAAAAAACTATATAGGCAATATACTTTGAGGAACTCCTTGTTGACATTGCTATTGCTTATTAGTATTTGGTGTTGGCCGTGTCATGATAGGCGCGCGCCAGAGTATTCAGCGCCGAAAACGAGTTTTTAATGTGCCTCGTACCTCCCTCCCCCCCTCCCCCCATAAATTTTGATTTAGTAATTAGATAATCAGTTTCGGGGGAAAATTGCAACATATCGATTAAAACCCTTGCGTAGCTCGTCTTCATGTCCTCAAACCCTCCAAGAGATCACCGATCGAAATTGTTTCGAATCATTCAGATTCTGCGTTGCGCTCAGGGACTTTAGCTCCGAGTTGATCGTAACTATAAATGAATTAGTGTCATTATTATGCGTTGATGTTTTTTTTTTTTTTTGTGTGTGTGGTGTGTATTAATAATATAAATTTGAGATGGAGGTAGGGTTTTTCTTTTTTTCTTGCTTTCCTTTTTCTTGAAGAATGGGTACAAGAAATTAAACCAAATGTGGCAAGAAGGGCGCATTATAAAGAGAAACTGAGGAGGGAACAGGGTAAAGTGTCCAAATAGAACAAGGAAAGGAAGCAAAGCACCAAATATTTCTTATACTATACATTCTGGAACAAATAATAGACAAAAAAAATTCTTGGACGGAAAAGGTACCCGAGAAACACAGTGAGGCCAGTTTGAACAAGAGAATATTGGTCAAGTGTTGTTAACGAACATTGGAATTGAAGGCGGAGGTACTTCAAAAACAATATTGGTGTCCTTACATTCAATGATCAATTGCACAAGCATTTATTTAATCTTGAAGTTAGTGCTAATTCAGGTCTTTGATAAATACACTCGTAGAAGAAAAGACCGATCCACATCAAGTTTTTTACAAGGGCGTTTTTAGCAAGGTAAAATGGCGCGGACCCCAACGTTGAGACTACATTGGACCCCCCCCCCCCCCTTTTTGAGGCTGGACCCACCGCTGCCCCTTCGGCTCGGACCCCCTTGTTAATGATGATGGTGATGATGATGATGGTGGTGGTGGTGATCCTGACAATGAGGATGGTGGTGGAGATGATGATGGCAACGATGATCATAATACCAGTGATAACGATAATGAAAATTATTGAAATGATGACAATGATAGCTATGATAATATTAGTAACAAAAATATTATCGTTATTGTTATTATTATTATATCAATAATATCATTTTTATAATCATTTTGAACCAGAAAAAAAATGATTAATATGGTCACTCGTCACTGATCTCGCTTCCCCAACACATGCATTGCTCTCTGATCATGAACCAAGTCGGGCATCTATCACAAATACCATTTGTAATAGATGTTAATAATCATCATTACAGTTTTATATGTTTGAATTTATCTGATTTAGTAAAGAATCGGAAAGATGAAAATGTAACAAGAAACCACTTTTACCACTATTATTACTCCCAATATCACTAATAGTTTTTCATATCTTCACGTAGATTTTTTTTTAGCAAATTATACGGTCAAGTCACGGAGTTACTTCTTTCTAAGCCTACAATCATACAACATAACATTTTAAAAATGTCACCCATTATACAAGACATTGCTAGAACATCTAGGGTACGATAAATACACTACAGACTAAGTTGAGAGTATGAAGCCATGAGTGAGTTTATGATATTTTGTTTATGATAGGTATAATGACAAGACAACACAGAAATGAGAAGGAAAATACGGATTTCAGTTCGGTTTTACCATCTGACAAGTAGTTTCATGACTCAAAAATATCTTGATGTTTTTCCTTTATCATTGACATGTTGTTAGTCAACCACTTTTAGGATGAAATTACTAGTAAAATGCTTGAAAGTAATATCTGTCCCAAAAGTTTAAATTTCGACTTATATATAGATTTTCAAATAATCTAGTTACAGAATTTCTAGATATGAAATTAATGAATTTCATTACAATTTATTGCCGAAGCTATCAAGACAGATGGTGGATCATGCATCATTACATCTGCATTCCCCCCTCTTTCAATGTAAATTATTATTAACTTTCTCATCATTTACATTAATTTACGTATCTCTGACAGCAATGAGAAATGAGAACTCCTGTCATAACAAATCCATGCTTTTCCTACTTCCGTAAGAACAGTGAGCTTCACAGTTCTTTGAAAAGCCTTCTTTCATTCAGATTTTTAGACTTTTTATGTTTCTGCAAAGACAGAGAACAGCTTTCATATTTCTGCCTTATGTTAGTCATAATATCGAAATTGTGACAATCCTTGCTTTGTGTCAAAAGCCCAAAATTTCAAGTGCTCAGATATCTATGATCATATGTTATATATGGAGAAGAAGCGAGATAAAACAGAGAAGAGAAGAGAACAAAAGAGAAAAGGGAGAGAAGGGAGGGGAAAAAGATGAGAGAGAGGGGGGAGGGAGAGGGGGGAGAGTGAGTAGGCTGAGGATGCTTGCATTGCATTCTTTCCTTTCTCTCTCTCTGTCTTAAGTACAACATAAAGAGAACAAAACATCTATCATCCTACCATTTTAAATATCTTTTAATAATGTATTATAAACCATATCCATATAATTTTCTCCAAATGCCTGTTTTAATTGCAGCTCATCTCAGTTTGCAATACTTTTCTTTAATACTGTGAAAAAAACATTTGAAAAACAAGAACATGGATAACACTAGAAAAATGTTTGCAATAGTCAGATATATAGTCACAGTTTAGCACAGAGATAATGATGCTCTTAAAATTATTAATATACCTTATAATTTGTACTTTACATTTAGCTCCTAAAGAACATCCATACTATATTTAAGCACACTCAGGAGAGGACACAGATTGTACATAATTACCATTGAACACCAAAAATGACTGCAACATTCTGTATTATCCCTTGACTCAATTTATATGGAAATTGTATTGATAAAGTTGATTGTTTAGTGAGATGACCAGCTACATCAGCATGAGATCATTTTTATTATTGTACAAATATATATTAATCACTGATCCTTTCTGATTACATTACAGTGTCTAGTAAATATGTGGAGGAAATAAAAAAACAACCTATTAACAATGCAATTATTTACTTGACATATTTCATAGAATCAGAAGCCAATATGAACTTCAATGAAAGTTACACTTTTAGAACTAAATAATACTGTTGAACAACAAACATGGAAGCCTATAATCGTCAATCATAATTTTTGTTCTTTATAATATCATTTAACATCAATCTTTGTTTTCACTAAATTAATGTCTTTAGTAATACATTCTTGAAAAATATATAGGTATATCATTTGCTGTGAGTAATACTTTTTATTCATACTTTAATTTAAAGACAACCATCATTTCAACATTGAATAAACAAGTAAAAACAAAACAAAACAAAAAATTAACACTGTAAGAGTTACAATTTATGTCCACTTTGGTTAGCACAGCCCTATCCAGAATGACAAACTAATTTGCCCCACAATCAGCGAGGGCACTGCAATATCCGGCCTCCATCAATAGGCAGTGTTACACCCGTTACAAATGACGAATCCTCTGAGGCAAGATAGATGACAGCTTTTGTCACGTCCTCGACTTCTCCTGCTCGGCCAAGGGGATACATCTTCTTGGTATGTTCTACCATCTGGAAGACAGTCAGAGTGTCCCATGAGATCCAAAAGTGAGTACATGAGAAGCTGTTCATGAAATTAATTGTTGTCTTTATATATGAATAAAAAGTTTTCAAAAATCTATTTATTGATAAAGGTTACTGAGAAAGTTCTGCCTTTAAAATCTATAACTGTTAAGAAAAATATAATCACTAATAACAATCCCAGTATAACTTTCCCTGATATATTTGCTCAAAAAAAATTCTTTCAAAAATGAAAATTATATGTCATATTTGGACACTATAAAAAAATTAAATGTATTGCAAATTGCTCTTAGGGATCAAGACATAAGTAATGAGAGAAATGAACTTATTGAATTAAGGGCGAGATGTCACCTCTAATTTGCCTGCCACGTGGAAAAGTGTTTTCCCTTATTTGCTGAATAAAGGAAGAAATTCACTGACAGATAGAGAAAAAAGAGAACAAAGGAAATGGCATCCTCCCTATCAGCATGCCTTTGAATTAGACACAATATAAGATATTTATCATAAGCTTTAATACACTCAAGATTAAAAATTCATATAAATTCAAAGTGGTATCAAAATAACATTATGTAACAAAAAAGATCATTGACCAATTCAAATTAAATCACTTCAAAAGTTGTAATAATAACAGCAGTGGTCTGTACAATCTAGTTTGAATTTCATGAATGTTGTCCATTTACTGCAATCACATGAAAATCACTGACTCTACACATAACTGATCCCCTTTCCTTGTTTACCTTCTGATAGTTCTCCTCCGATATGCCAGCTCGCCTGTGGATGTCAGTAATGATAAGCCCCGGGTTGACGGCATTCACTCTTACTCCCCGGTCAGCCACCTCTAAGGCCACAGTTCGTGTAAATTGGTCAATTGCGGCCTTGCTCATGTTGTATGCTACCATTCCTGGAATCTAAGGAGAACGGACACATTTTGGGGGGACAAAATCTCCTTCTACCAGAATTCACTTCCAATCTCTGGGATTTTTGTGGTGACTTTAGGAAATTAGATGGATTTTTAGGTAAAACAAATAATTGTGAATCTTTAAGGCTATTTTCTTGTTCCTTTTTCTTCTAAAAATATATCCCTTATATACCAGGACCTAAATTAAATCAATGTAATATTCTAGAGAGAACATTCCAGTATACCAGTTCATATATCAATTAGAGAATACTACCATCATTATCTATTGCTTTACTGACAAAAGATATAAATATATACAAATTAACGGTAATTCATGGGTAAACTATCAAGTTTTATATCATACAGATGACATAAAAACTCCTATACCTCCGAAACAATAAAAAAAATAATTTCATCAAATCTCAATAATGTTGAAAGGCTTACCGATCGGATCCCACAAACAGACGATACATTGATGATGTTCCCTTTCGCCTCAATGATGTGCGGCAGAGCAAGCTTGGTTAAAATAAACACAGACTTCACATTAACATCCATCTGCCTGTCATAATCTTCCATGCTGATGCTTTCAATTCCACCAAGCACAAGAATCCCTGTAAAAGGAAATAAAAGGATGAGTGACTAAAATGTACAGGAGATAATACTGGATATAGAAAGAAAATAAGGGGTGAGTGACTAAAACATACAGAAGGAGCTAATACTGGATACAGAAAGTGCAAGAGATATAACTAATAGGCAATAGTAGCCAGGTGAGGGGCAGAAAGTCCATGGGCCACCTAGAGCCACCTGGAGTCACCTGGCAGAGCAGGCCACAAAAGAAATTGCATCCCCAGAAGACAGCTGCAGATTAATGACAGACTAATGACAATCAGCTGCCAGAGAGTTACAAGAAAACCAAAGAATTTTTTTAAATCTATCAAAACCTTCTCAGAAAGAAACATGAACCTGACCTTTAAAAAAAAAAAAGTCAAATGCATCCTTATCTGACGTTTTATCTAATGGAGATTAGG